CTGGTTCTAAGAAAGCATCATTTCTAGACCACTGCCTTCTCAGACATCTCCTCATGTCCATGAGAAGATGGTGGGGTATAGTAGCCAGAGAGACTAATACCTCCAACACCACAGAGGCTACTTCAGAGGACCCATCTGCAGTGATGTTCAACCCTGCACTGGTCCATGACAATGTCTACCCTTCCTTTCACTTGCTTCTTCCCAGAAAGCCCTCCAGCCTCCAGTTGTTCTCCAGCCTTACCGCCCCAGCCTCACAAAGACAAATATGTTCATCTCCTAACCTACTGCAGATGGTCATGAATGCCAGGGAATAAAATCTCCTCAGATAACAAAGAGGCAGTGACTGTGGTGATATTAGTTGAACTGAGGACACCTGCTTTGACCTCAGCCTTGACACGGGCTTCATTCTGAGCTCTCAGTAAGGGCTGGGTATATGTGGTGGTTTTGGCACTCGTGACTCCATTTTAAGGCCTTCAATCCGTTGTCCTGATGAGCTACTCTGGCCTTGGAAGCAAAGCAGCTTACCCAACCAGCTCACTAACAAGATTCCAGCAGGGGCCACTGGCTTCCAAGTTGGATGTGCCCTGTGACTTTCTGCTAAAGTGTCTATGTGGCATAAACTCTCATTTCACACTCGTGCTAGTGCCACACAACCAAACTGCACATTGTGTGGCCCCGCCAGGGCACTGGGTACAGTGAGCTTTCTTTTGCTTGCTTTTCTCAAGTGGGTAAATCTCTGAGTTTGAAGACAGTTTAGATAGTAAATTCTAGGACAGTGGGGGCTATGTAGAGAGACCCTGTCATTACCCAAAGCTTCAAAGCAACAGGGCTTCAAACCCTGTTTTACTTTTAGATGAGAATCACCCCTACTAGCCCACCCTGGTCACCAAATACCCAAATGACATGCCATTGCTCTGCTTATCCTGCCCTGCACACTCACGATGCTTTATAAGGTGTCCCGCCTCCCCTCCATTTTGTGCTGAAATACACTCTTGTTGTGGTGCATAGCTGGCGCTGGCCAGTCTGCTGGGTGGTACCTGCACTGACTTTCTTACAAGACATAAACAAGAGAAAGAAGCAAGCAAGCTAAGCATGGTGATTGTAAGCGCAAGCCTGTGGTTACGAACTGACAACCTGGGGGCTTGCCTCACCTCTCAGGTTCCTTGTCTGTCAAATGGGAAGACTGATGGCAGCAGCTGCCCAGCAGGGTCACCTCAGACAGGTGACGAACAAGGCAGTGTGGGTGGCACCTCAGCTACAAACTGCGTTTGAGTCTTAGCTCCGTGCACAGCAGCAGCCCAGGCATCTGCTTTGTATCCCAGGTCTCCACATCTGTATAATGTGGATACAGTTATATCTGTATGATGTAGATACAATTACATCTGTATGATGTAGATACAGTTATATCTGTATGATGTGGATGCAGTTACATCTGTATAATGTGGATACAGTTATATCTGTATGATGTAGATACAATTGCATCTGTATGATGTAGATACAGTTATATCTGTATGATGTGGATGCAGTTACATCTATATAATGTGGATACAGTTATATCTGTATGACGTGGATACAGTTACATCTGTATTGTTGGGAGCCGACTCCTAGCCGAAAGTGGCTATCATCTTTGCAGCCATCTCAGGCCATATACCCTGACAAGAGATTTGTTTTCAACAGCCTACAACAGCTGAGCACACTCTGATAAACATCTTGTTTTTCTCCCATATCTTGTTTTGTTGTTTAATGCCCCCAGCTGCAAGGTGCATGTGGTAAAGTGTCTTCAGCTGCATTCTCCTGCTTATGCTTATATATACCCATGATTTCCTTTCAATAAACAGGACTTGATCAGATCCTCTGTCTTGTCTCCATTCTTCACGTTTCTTGCCCTTCCATCCCCACTCTCTCTCTTGCTAGACCCTGACCTGCAGGCTGGAGCAGCAGCTAGGGCCAGGACAAAGTGGCCCCCCAAACGTGGGACAGAACGGGCTGATACACTGTATAATGTGGATACAATTATTCCTACATTGCAGCTGTCCTGGATCAGGTTAGTTAACTTGTGCAATTAAATGAGTAACTGAATCATTTAGACATATTCATAACCAGTGGCCAGAAAGCTGGCATCCGTGTCCAAGATTCTTATCCTGCAGCCTCATAGGGACACTAATAGGGAGTGGCACTATTAGGAGGTGTGGCCTTCTTGAAGTAAGTGTGGCTTTGTTGGAGGAAGTGTGTCACTGGGGGGTGGGCTTTGAGTTTCAGATGCCCAAGCCAGGCCCAATGTTACTCTCTCTTCCTGCTGCCTGTGGATGCAGATATAGAACTCTCCAGCACCATGCCTGCCTGCATGCTGCCATGCTTCATGCTGTGATGACAATGGACTGAACTCTGAACTATAAGCCAGCCCCAGTTAAATGTTTTTGTTATGATGAATTGCCATGGTCACGATGTCCTTTCACAGCAACAGAAACTCCAAGACAGTGATCTGTATAATGAGAGGGCGAGCCGCATTTATATCCCCAAACTCAAGCGTGTCACACCAGGGTCTGCACAGTGACACCTGATGAGACCAAGGAGACCTAAATATTGATCATACTATCTCAAGGAATTTAGATCTCAGAGCACATGTGAAGTAGAGAAAAGTCCACACAAATTGCCAAAGGGAAATGCTGTACTTCAGTGGGCAGAGTGAGCTATCATTCACAGCTTCACAGCAGTGATTGAACGAAGAGCCACTGGGGTCCTGATTCCTAGAACCCAGGGCTTCTCTTATAAGGAAGAGAGTCTCTGCATATGTGGTCCAGTTACGGATGGTAGGATGTAAAGATAATGGCAAATGGACTATCAGTACAGAGACGGGAGATTGGACTCAGAGGAAAGTGCTGAGTCTGCTGGCCTGTAGGGTAAGTGGGCCGCACCGCCAGACAGGAGAACCAGGAGGGTTACCTGAGCTCAGACCCTGGAATCTCAAGGACTTGACATCAGCAGGAATCGAGTCTCTCCCTGTCCACTCCTGTACCTGCTCTGGAACACCCTACTGAGAGGAACATGGCAGTCAGTCACATTCAGAAAGGACCTGTCCTTCCCCATGCAGATAGATAAGTAACACCTCAGACTGAGCCAATGGGAAACACCTACCCCTAAATCCCACCCCACTCCTCAGTGGTTATAAAGTCCCTGTCCACATGGAATAAAGCACACAAGATATTTCTCTGAAGATCTTCTGAGACTGTTTTTACTGAGCTATAACACTTGGGAAACATTCATCTCTGGATCTTGGGCCTGCCTAGCTGGCCAGCCCTCTGCCACCAGTGCTGTTGCTGTGGTTGTCACTGTCGCTGTTGCCATAGCTGACCATTCACAGGAAGAGACCTGGGACCTCAGCTACCCGCCCTGTGCAGGCCTCCTCACTCAAGACCTTTAACACTTCCGGCATTCCTGGCTAGACCAGAGCCCCGTGGAACCTATTCATCAGGTTCTACTTCTTGAATAGCAGATGACACCAGCCAAGGGCAAGAGGGCCATCAGAAACTGGGAAAATTTTGTGGCAGTCTTCCCTGGGGCCCCCAGTAGCACAGCCATGCTGCTTGTAGCTTGATTCACATCAGTGAGACTGATATCTGGCTCCCCATAGCCAGAACAGCAAGGAATGAACTGCTGCTTCCAGCCACCAACTGTGCAGTCGTTGCTGCAGCAGCCGCTGGCAGATCATACAGCAGTGTAAGAGTTGGATCTGCAACAGGTGAACTTTGTAGGTCTAAGTGATTGGCAGTTTGGGGCGTGGCACCTTTTAGATAAGATGTGTGTTAAATCCCCTTTTCTCCAACTTGAAAAGACTGCCGAACCCGCTGCTTCCTACTGAAGAGCACTGAAGCTCTGAATGCCTCTGATCATCCCACAGCCTCTTGCTGAATAACACAGGAAGGTTCCAGAGAGGAGGAGGACAAGATTGAAATATGAAGCATCCTGCATTTGCCAACGGCCTGGCTTCACAACTTCATCCACAGTTAAATCCACTGGGAGCTGGTGGACATCTTCACAAGCTAGTTCTTTAATAGACTTGTCTTTAGAGCTATTTTTTTTTTCAGGTCCAGCAAAACTGAAGGCCAAGCAGAGTTCTCATACCCTTTCTGCTCCGGCCTCGTGCTTGTCCATAGTTTCTCACGTAGGTCATTATTTTATGCACCCCAGAGTAACTACTTCTGTTGTGAAGTTATCGCATCCTTATGTATATAAGGAAGAAGGAACTTTGTGGTAGGTGTCGCAGGGGTCAGGCTTTTGCTGTAACAGACATGCAAGTGTCCACAGCAGGCATCCTGGGCTTGAGCAGGGTGCTGTATCAACTGCAGGTGGCTCAGCTCAGAGCCCTGAGATAAACACCATGGCAGTCTTGGACCCTCCTGATGGGATTCTTGTAGGTTGGATATGTGGGTTTGATAGCCCCTCCCCACTTTACCTAAGACCCTTTGAACCTTTGATGTCTCCATGGCCGACCCATTTGCCTTGAACATGGCCACCACCTCACATAGGAATAGCACCGACTCAACCACTGTATGCACATGTCTCTTGCTTGTGGCTAGGTATATCCTTGTGGATTATTTAGTCTGAAGTTTATTGGCTTGGTATTTAATTCAGAGTGTTTATTATTTTTTGATAACTATACACTTTGTTCTCTTTTCTTCTTAGACCTAAGTTTGGGCCACACATCCTTTTATCCTGCTCGCCAGTACCCTCCACTGGGCTAGAGTCTTCCCAGTCCTCCCAAAAACATGGTCCTCAAGGTAGCCATCACAAGATGAGAGTTGAGAACCCGTACTTATCATCAGACTTTAATGGAGCCTCTGTCAACCCCAGGGCTTTGCTGATAACTCTTAGGAACCTCCCAGTTGAGGGAGTGATCCCTCAAGGTCACCCCTAGAGTGTTTTTGGTGACAGTGAATCAGAGTCAGACTCCAGTTAGCAGCAAAAACCATACAGCTCAGTGCTTTGTGGAAGAGATGCCCTTAAGAAAACTTCCCAATATAATAGTTCTCCCACCTGCGCACCTTGTTGGTTATGGCCTTCCACTTGGTCAAGTTAACCTTTTCAATCCCTTTGCTTATTAAGTCACTGAAGAGTATGTATCGGTAAGTGTAGACGTTGTCAACAGACTGCAGACAAAACTCTTTCCGGTTGTTTATGATAAACCATTTCACAGAAGACCAGGCTGAGTCTAAGGGGTTCAGATAATTATAGGGAGGAGGCAGAGAGATTAGCTCATGGCCGTAGGACTTGGCCACTCCTGGGGAGCACACAACACTTGTTAAATTAACACTTGTTGGGACATAGGCCTGGTCCTCCCCCTCCTTGTCTGTCTTTGGCTTCATCTCATCTTGCTGCCGCTTCCCTTTAACCACGATGGCACACTTGCCATATGCCTTCTTCACGACGTCACAGAACTCAAAGAACAGGCTGTCTTCCTGCTTGATGCACAGGTCATCCCTCAGGAACATGCGATATTTCCAAGGCACCCACCCTTGACTGCCTCCAGCATGTAGAATACACCAGGATGGTGTGTGGATGTAATAGCTATCACTAAAATCTTCCCCAGTGACAAGAGTTTCTGGGATCTCAGTTTCCCCAAAATACACGGTCTTGTATCCGTTGTGTTGCAGCGATCTCAGAGCGTTGAGATACTGAAGGCACTGCCTCCTCTTGGTGCTGTCAAACTGACTTCTGCTAAAGATGTTTTTCAGAAGACAGTTTGTAAAGCGAGCCATGGGGCTCCCCGAGTGGTTCACATTTTCCCATCTGGGGAGTTCTGGAAGGGGGAGGAGGATGACCTCACAAAAGGATGTGCCGGTGCCATAGCTACATGTCAGACGCAGAACACCATGAGGCACATGCTCAGGACTCTGAGACACAGAAAACGCCACCCAACGTCACTCCTGGAATAGACCTTTTTATGGTCTGGTTTCCTTTTTTTTTTTTGGTTTCTGGTTCCTTTTCATTTGGATTATCGAGATGGATATTCTATCCACCCATTACTGTGTACCTTCTGTGGACCAGACATTTTGCCACAGGATATATATAACATGTTTTGGAAGGCCTGGGTGTGAGTGTGTTTGTCTGTGCACATGTGTAAACTGTGCTACCTGTCTACTTTTACAGTCCATGGTTGCTTTTCCAGTGGCTGAAGAGAAATCTGGTGTGGCAGAGTAAAAGAGGCTATCCCTCATAGGGACTGCCATTAATTGAAATGATTCATTACATTATCTGAAAAATATTTGATTTGCTATAATTTTTTGAGACAACATCTTGCTCTGTAACCTTAAATGGTCCAGCATTTGGTCCAGGCTGGGCTTTTACTCTCAGCAATACCCCTGCCTAAATCGTGTAAGTGCTGGGATTACAGACACACACCATACTGAGAAGCACTTCAATTTTATACAGTTTGCTTCACTTTCTCTTTGCCTTTTTATTTTAATTTCCTTTGTAATTTTTTCCTTTAATCAAAGCTAAAGGTGGTTTATAAGTGTGTCTAAGTGAGTCTTCCAAATGACAGTGTAGCCAAAATGACCTGCCTGGTCCTTTGCTTCTCCGTCAAATGAATAGGAATCTCCGTCCTCTCCCCTGATCTACTAGGGTTTTCTTGGGACTCAGGCAAACCCAGGCTGTCACCAAGTTCACATGAAGTGTGCGGTTACCAGATGTCCTCTCCTAGAGGACACGGCAGCAGCTTTCAGCTTTTTTTTTTTTTTTTTTTTTTTTTTTTTGCCACTTTCTCTGGAGACGTTTCTTTAGCAGTTTAAAACAGTTTTCAGATCAAATTTGATGTAGATACCAACTCTGTGGCCAGAGTGCCCAGAAACTGTGGTGGCGCCAGAGTCCCCAGAGCACTTGGGAGTGGTGGTGACCCCATAGTTCCCTCTCCTGTCTGGAGGGACCTGATCCACTGAGGTACAGCAGCAGTGATATCTTCTGTTCCTCTTGTGAGAAATCTTAGACATGAGAAACTCATTTAGAAGTGCAAGAGAAAGCACATGCTGTGTTTCGTGTTTGACCAGATGTGCACATTTGATTGTATTTTCACATAGCAAACACTGAAAACACCTGGAGGAAGAGAGAACAGGGAACTCCCGGAATGCATCCCATCTCTACAATTATTCAGTCTTGGCAAATGTTCACATTTACATTCAAAGTATAATTTAAATAACAAAGCAGATAACTAGCACAAAACAATATCTAAATGATACAAACAACACAAATTGATAAACTTAACCATTGGGGGTTTTTTTCCATGTCAGTAACAAAATCAAAAAAAGACCGAAACAGCATAGCTGGTGTAAAAACAGGCAGATAGACTGAGGGGACAGCAGAGGGGACTCCAAAGTAAAGCCACACTGCCACAACCATCTGATTCTCAACAAAGGTGCCCAAAACATATTGACAAAAGGACAGCTCCTTCAGCAAAAAGTGCTGTGGGACTGGATACCCATTGCAGGAGGACAAGGTGGACCGTGTGTGTGTGTGTGTGTGTGTGCACATGCATGTATGTGTGCATATGTGTATGTGTATATGTGCGTGCACACTTAGACTTATGACCCTAATTAAGACCTGAAAGTTTGAAATGAATAAAGGAAAATATTTCAAGATTCAGGAAAGGACTTTCTGAAAATGACCAGTAGCTCAGAAAATGACTGCAAGGATTGACAAATGAGATTGCATGAACTGAAAAGCTTCTGTAGAGCAAAACCAGAGAGTGGGAGAAAAATCTATGCTGAGGTTAATAGCTAGAATATATTAAAGACTTGAGAAACTAAACACCAAAAGATCATCAGAGCAATAACTTGGACAGCTCTCAAGGAGAATTACAAATGTGTACTAAATTATGAAAAACGTTGAGCATTCTCAGTTGTCAGGGTAACACATCACACCCACATTGATGTTCTAGCTTGTCCTGATCGAGATGGCTATCAAAATAATAAAACAAACAAATATGGAAGGAAGAAACCCTCACATGCTGTTAATGTATGACAATATGCTCAGCCACTGTAGAAACAGTTATGAGGATTTGTAAAATAATACTAAAAATTAAAACTAGAGCCACCATATTACCCAGTCCTAGGTATGTACTTTTTCAACCCAAATTCAGCCTCTGGGCCCCACATAGTAAACTGAGAGACCCGACACCTGCAAGTGGACCTCTACGCGCATGCTTTGACACCTACATCACCCACCACATACTAGACAAGCATGACACAGAAAGATGCCTGCACACTCATGTGACTCTCCCTCCACAGTAGCCAAGCTGTGGGACGGACTCAGATGCCCGTAGATGGATGAGTAGATAAACACACACATACATACACAGAAGCACATACTTACCACACACTACATCACACACACACCACACCCCCTACTCCCACTCCCCACATGCACACACAACTACATACCACACGTACACCACACACACACACTCCTACCTCTCCACATGTGCACAACACACACACACACACACACACACACACACACACTCTGCTACCTCACCTCAGGAAATGGAATGAGAGTAAACCAGTGAGATGTCTCAAGGGCCACTGTGGTTTGGGTGAGAATTCCCCTGATAGTCTTGGGTATTTGAACACTTGGTGGCGCTGTCTGGGGAGGCTCAGGTGGCACATCCTCCTTAGAGGAAACACATCACTGGGGATGAGCACTGAAATTAAACGCCAGTTTTCTCTGTTTCTTGCTTGCCATTTGGAGATGTGCACTCTAGGCCTGCACACCCTGCCATGTGCTTCCACGCCTCCCCACCGTGATGGACTCTTTCCCCTCCCGGAACCACAAGCTGAAATAAAGCCTTCCTTCTGTAAGTTGTCTTGGTCACTGTATTCTGTCAGAACAACAGAAAAAATCCTGAGACAGGCAAGTAAAGGTGCCCGCAGCCAAGCCTGCCAGCCAGGGTTTGATCTCTAGATCACATGAGACCGAAGGGAAGAACTGACTCCTGCCATATGCATGCATTGGCACCCATACCACCACCACCACCCCACACACACATAAACAAAATAAGAAGCAAATAAATAAAGAGAATGAAGCATGAGGTGTGCAGGAAACAAATGGAACTGTCAACTGTGTTAACCGAGATGACAGGGAGACAGGTGCCATGTTCCCTAGCATCTGGAGAATAACAACAAAAGCCCTAAAGTGGAGCCTGTTAGGGAGCAAGAGAGCAGCATGGGGACAGTGCCCGGGCAAGTAGACACATGTCTTAGGTAGGTTTTATTGCTGTGGAGAGACACCGTGTCCATGACAACCTTATAAAGGAAAACATTAATGGGGGCTGGCTTACAGTTCAGAGGCTCAGTCAATTATCATGGCAGGAAGCATGGAAACACGCAGGCAGGCCTGGTGCTGTGACAGGAGCTGAGAGTTCTACATCTGGATCCGCAGGCAGCAAGAAACTGCACATCACAGAGGGTATAGCTTGATTGAAGGAGACCTAAAAGTCCTCCCCTACAATGACACACTTCCTCCAACAAGGCCACACCTCCTCCAACAAGGCCACACCTCCTCCAACAAGGCCACACCTCCTCCAACAAGGCCATACCTCTTAATAGTGCCACTCCCTGTGGGCCAAGCATTCAAACATATGAATCTATGGGGCCATACCTATTCAAACCGCAACAGAGTACCTTGCAGACATGTATGAATGTATAAGGTGCCCGTTATTTTGTATAATCCATGTACATTAATAGGAAGCAAATACACAAGAGAAGTTGATCAGTGTTAGAGTGAAATAGTCCTTCTCATAATATAAATGGGTCAATCTTCTCTTCATTCCTTCCCTGTTCCATTTCTATTTCATTAGCAAATCGTGAATATCTCCAGGTTCCAACCTGTTAGTAAATTATGGAAGGACCGCAGTGTAGATCCTTGAGGCTGGCGCTGTCTCCTAGGGAAAGCCCACAGGGTCCTGACAGAAGGGACAGGTCTCAGGGAGGGGAAGCTCTCGAGTCTGCAGAGGAGAGAGGCTGTTGGGACCCCAGCTTTTTTCCGTAGGAGGAATGGAGCAGGTCCCAGCATGAGAGCCCAGGACAGCACCCCTGTGAGGTGGAGCTTGCATTTCAGCAGAGATAAAGCTGACAGTCAGGAGTTCCAGCCTTTCCCTCCATGCTGAAGAAGAGGTAGGCTCTTTTAAAGACCCGTGGCCTGACCACATTTCCGTTTCCTGTAGTTTGTGAGGTCCGACTGTGCACTCCCTGTGAGGTCTATTTTAGTGAGAACCACCCCCTTCCTCACACGGTCAGGCTTCGCTTCTTCCTCCGTCTCCCAGGTGATACATGGTTCTCCTCAAACTGCCTTTAGCAGGGACCCTGGTAGGGCTGTGTTAGCCAGAAAACCCCTCATTCCTAATTCTTGGTCTTGGTCATTTTCCAGCCACTGACCCCACGCTGCTCTCAGATTTGAAGTCCCATTTCCCTAAGGTGTGCTAAGGTTGAGACTCCCCTCTCTTCCTGTTGCAGAGATCTGTGTTGTAGTAACTGCACACCAGCAACAGCCTCTTCCCCGAATAATAGCTAACATTAAAACCTGGTTTTAAAGTATCGTTAAGTAACCGTGTCCTGCTTCTCCCCCAGACTCTGGGACCATGAAACTGATGGGTCTGTGGAGTCCCCAGGGTCCAGGGGAGGATTGGGCTAAAGAGATACTCAAAACGGTGACTGCAGGTCAGCGAGAGTAGCCATAAGCAGGACCGACCAGTGAGAATGAGTCTCTA